CTCTGGGGCCTTTGGGGCCTCTGAGGGGCTCTGGGGTCACCCAGCCATGACAACCGAGACAATAGGAGGGTCCTCACCCTGCTCCCAGTTCCCACCTACCAGCCTCTCTGAACACACATACACACACTCTGGTGTTTGGTGTGGACATCCCTGACAGCAGTTGGTAGACAGTGGCTGAGTCACCTGGTGTCACTTTTCATATTAAATACATACAGAGCCTGTTGACCAATGCAATACATTTAACAATAATCCAAAAAATAGAACAATAGAGCACAAATCTGGAAGATGATGGATCAAAACACATCTAAACTCAGCTGTCAGTTCATTAGGTCATATTGTTCAGTTTTTACTGAAACTGCTGTTTTAGAGAGGAATTGATTTAACTGTATGCCAATAGTGGAGGCTGTAGCTGAATTGTACTGCATTATACTAACAGGTGGTTGTATTATTTTGTTCACTCCATTCAAATCAGTGAAGGAAGGCTAAATAAGAAATGTCTTTCTGTAAAATTCAGTACAGTTCAAGAGCAGCACAAACTGCATCCTCCAAAATGACCACATAGATAAATCAACACTTCTCTGAAACAGTCTGAACAAAAACTGAACATTCACCTTCATGATGAAGATGCATTGCTGTATTATACTGTTCTGCTAATAAATGACCACTGAATATATGTCACCAATTCAAAGTACAATGCCTAGACATAGTAAGCTCATGTTCAGACGGAGTTTAAAAGGTGTGTGAAAAATGCCGCCGTCTCCATTCATTTCTATGGGGGGATTACGCTCACCGCAGCTGGCACCAGCAATGCATGGACCTCTGGAAAATTGATGCAGCCCCATGCCATGTAAAAGTTGGCTCTGGATTAATTTTTGCCACACTGGACAATGACATCATTCGGCAAAGGCATTAATTTGACCAATCACGTACAAAGGGATGTTCAGAACATGGACACCGACGGGAAGAAGACTCTTTTGTTTACCTTTTTAGCATGAGCATTCACTGCTATTCATTTTTGAATCTGGGACATGACACAGTTAATGCACCATAACAACACGCCATATGTTTTCATAAGTACTGACATGCTGGCTAAGGTGGAATGGGCTATGTTAGCAGCATGGCTAACCAAAACACAACAGAAACTTGGGGGCTGGAAACTTGAATGAACCACTCACCTCGACTCGTCACAATGTGGCTGTATCATACACGCCCACAACACTCCCCCTACAACCCCTCACATGCATTTTAACAGAGCAGGGAGGTGCGTTTTACTGCACTGAATGCCTGCTCATAAAAAAACGTGTAAATTCAACTAATCACTGTGAAGTGCACAAACATGCAAGTAGAATCAGGAAGTGGATCAAATGAATCATTAGCCTTGAAATGTTGCTTTAGAATGAGCAGAAACTGACTGGCAGATCCAATTTCTCCCAGCCAAGAGTGATTTGCACACTTAGAAATCACCTTGAGATGGAGAGGAAGCAAGGAGGCAAAAAAGTAGAATTCTAAACAAAACATTCTAAACACTGGTTTTAGCAGCTTGGCTGCCGCTTCATCACATATTGAATAAATCATTTTTTTTGGCACAACATGAGCACAGCTGCAAGAAAACAAAAATCACAAACACACACATGTCCATAAACACGCACAAACATGGACGCACAGAATGCCTTGTAGTTTTGATAAAGCAGCAGCTTTCCCTTTTGTCTTGCAGCCGAGCAGGGATTAGGCAGCGCGGGTCTTTATCCTGTGGTTTTCCAGTTGAGCAGAATACAAGAGCCTCTACCTCAACTAATACAGTCAGACCTCCCAGCAGGCCTTTCACCACACAGCCACTGAGAACCTGCTGCCCAAAAGATGCTTTTCAATGAGTTATCAAATCTCCTCTATACTGTCCGTGCCTTTCAGCCGAAGCTCTTTGTCTGTTATTTTCAATGGGGCATTGAGCACATCAAATAGAACTGATGAGCAGATAGATGGACAGCCGAATGTAGCAGAGACATATTAACCTCGTCCAGACACAGCAGAGTACAGACAAGGTAACACCAGAAAAGGCTTTATATACTATTGCATCTGAATGTACATATAAACATTTTAAAACAAGCAACTTATAGTAAATGTAGCCTCCAATATTCAAAGTAGTTGATTAACTGATTAATAGTCACTTGATTAATAAATGTCTTGCATGATTAAACACCAATGCTAAACATTTCCTGCTTCAGGCTATTTAAATGTGAATATTTGCTGCTTTTCTAAGATTTATAACTTTTTTTCAACAGAATATTTTTGGGTTTTGGGATGTTGGTTGGACAAAGTGACAAAGTTGCTAATAAAAAAGTAAACAGCTTAAGCAGTAACCAATCAACATTTTAAAGAGCAAGTAATTATTCCATAAATTATCTATTAAGTTATAAAACATTTAAATAATAGTTAGTAGCAGCCCATCATATGAAATATGCAATATTCCAACTGAAATAGTCAAAACTGAAAATGTATAAACTACAAGAGTGGATTAATTGTTCAATAACATTTCTGAAAATTAAGTGCTTCCAGGATTTGCCTCTTTTCTCTTTTTAATTGTAAATTACTTCTTTTCATCACTCAAAAATAGTGATTTACACGTTTATTTTCCATTGTCAGATAATATACAGACTAAACTAATAATAAACAAATAGTCTACAGAAGAACTGATAATAGGAGTAACTGCTAGCTGGAGCATTAACATCAGGAATAATCAATGCAAAAATACATACTGGAATTAGAGCAGGTTTAGAAGATGATTGTGCATTCACACGATGATAAATTATTGATCATACTTGTTTTAATAGTTATTAATCAGCTTGACAGACCACGATTGCTGAGTTTTCCACAGTTTTGACACTTCTTGGTCAACTGCTATAAAGCATGCTGTGCAGGCGCTCAGCAGCAGGTTTAGAACAGAATACGGTAGGGGTTTTGATGAGTTCATTAGGAGGCCACGTCATTTATGCACAGTCACATAGAAGGCAAAGGTCAGCCAGAATTACCCAGGTGGCCACTGCATGTGGGTGTCAGTTTGATTTTCTGATTCCACTTAAACCACGCTGTTGCTCCACAACCTGGTAACCACTTTAATATCACCATGCCATTGCCATGTTGTATTGAATTC